GAATGGGTGGGTGGTGGTTCGGGTGAGAAAGATGAGACGGACGAAATGAAGACAGAAGAGAATGAAAGATTATCTGTGGAATATTACTGTCTCAGCATTTGCCTAAGTAATCCAAGAAAACCACAGAAAAACTTGGACCAAGGCAGACGGACCCGGAATCGAACCGGCGTCCTCCCGAATGCTAAGCAATGGTCTAGACCTCTAGGCCATGTCGCTCGGTGTTATTTAGTAACTGATACCTATGTATATCTGCATTCGGTTCCACGTACAATAGCATTTTTTGAATGAATGTAATGTAAATAAAAAACCTTTTATTCGAATGTTTTGAAAATTGTTTCGTGAAATAAAAAAGGATAAAATGACTCACCTGAAGTTAGAGAACCACTTGACAAGCTGGGCAGTATTGTTCTTATTGAACTTTATATCTGGGAAGTACATTTTTAGAACCGCTGAACTTGGATACCGGACCCAGAAGAACATCAGCTTGGCTTTCCTGAGATGCATGGGTGTCAATGTTGACGAGTGCTCAGACGTTAAGGAAACATCTGTTCGAATAGAATTGGCAATAATTACATTCACTACAATATTATTTTTATCTTCAAACGGAAAAGAAAATGAAAACTGTTTCTTTTTTTTTCGTTAATTTGTCAATTTGAAAATCTTCGAATGGGTGGGTGTAACCAAATTCCCCTTGCAAGTATGTAATTTCGGTTTCACAATTCTTATTTGACGCAGCTGGATTTAAGCCGACAGGAAAAGAAAATATTGGATCAAGCACATTTACTAAGGTTTCTTATTGTGATTTGAAGCGATTAGAATTGCAGAGATACCTTACTGAAAACTTAACCTTTTATAAGTTATAGGTCTAGAGAAGACCATCAAATGCTACAATCACATCAGTCAGTCGTGCTTTTTCAGCTTTTGCACCCGTCAAGGAACATCCTACGCCAAGTATAAATGTCTTTTGTAAAGCAAGCTTTAAAGTTTCGATAGGCACATTTAATTTTTATATCGTGGATTAAATCGCAAAAAATTGCAGGCATCTTTAGGTCACAAATCTAAAGATCGACAGAGTATCTACTCAAAACCGAGAAACAGAAACATGTCTGAATACTTTCCGTTTGTTACAAAAATTTCAACTGAAAAAAATCGTTTTGAATGCAAAATGTGTTTACTTTTGTATATAAAGGATATAGTAGGCTGCATTCCGTCGTAAGAGATGTCTCCTCCAGAGTTGCAGTCGGAATTCCGATCGCCGTTGTCCATATTCATACCTCCCGAGGGTGCTCTCATATGACCATAGTCTGGAGAACCTCCATGTTGGGCTGCAGCCAGAAGAGCGGGGTGAAGGAGTGTGGGGGGATGATGGATTGGGGGCGATTCTCTTTCCATTTTATGCATCCTTGGGGGCGACGAGGAAGCCTGTGACCCAAATATTCCTTCCTTAGAATTTATTTCAATCAAATGAATCTTTCATGATTTATTTCATCTTAGCATGCATTTGAACGATTATTTTTAGAATAATCTTATAGATGTAAAAAGTTTTCTGTATAAAAAAAAAATGTGTGTACCTGCATGGCCATGTGATGTCCATGGCTTGGTCCGTGGAAAAACGGGCTGTACGGGGAGAACACTTGGGATTCGTGAAGTCCGGGGTTGGGAATAGCGACAGACGTAGGCAATGAGACGGGTAGCATCGGAGGGGGCGGCTGGGGATACGGTGGAGGCCTCGGAGATGTACAGGGCGTCGGTTCCATAGATGCAGGTGACATTCCCATACCGTCCTGTCCAAGGATTCGGCTCACTGTCCTAGGTGTGATTCGCGTATCGGTAACTTTGTGCCGCTTCTTTTTCGGCGTAACGACCAAACTTAACGCTTCGTTCTGCTCGCTGTTCTCTGACTGTTTGGCAACACAAAAGGGATGGTTCATTCCGTAGAGCGGCATGTGATTGATACCGGGAGGTTTGGGTTGCTGAAACATTGGTGGTCTTATATGAAGTTCGTTCGTTTTTGGGGGTTGACTATTAATACAATGAGCTGGAATCATTGGATGAAAATTGGCATTTCCATTTACCATTTGATTATTAGATTGAGGTGGTGGTGCCTGCGGCCTTTCTAGCACTCTGCTCTTTGGCGATTTCCTATCTAACAACTGCATCGCAGCCACCGATGATTCCTTGACGATTTGCTGTTCCACGCTAGCGATCTCGTTCTGTTTTAACTTTCGCTGATGGATAAATCTGGTGACGATGGTGTCGATAAGGTTTGACAAGGAGGCAGTGATTTCAGTTTTGAGTGCGTCCGCCAAACCTTCCAAATCGGTACCTGTGGGTGTCACGTTGCTCTTTATCATGTTCAAACGGTCCGCAATGTTGTCGGGCTTTGATGTGGGCGGTTGTGGGTTCGATTGCGGGACCTCGGAGACTGCTGCAGCCGACGCTGCTGCAGCTTCCTTGGCCATACGAGCTTCTTGCTCTAATAGGAACTTGTGACTAACGCCCAAATACATGGCGGCCGCGTTATTTAATTGTTGATGGTCGTGCAACATTCCGTTATGGAAATGTGGCGTTTGAGAGCTAATTTTCAGTTTGCTAACTTGTTGTGAAAGAGTCGGTGCGGGTGGCGGTGGTGGTTGCTGCTGTTGCTGAGTCGGTGTAGGTGACGATCTCGCCGGAGACACCGGCGGAGATCGTTTGCTTTGTTCACTGTCACTAGGTATCTCTTCTACGTCGGGACTGTCGTCAGAATTCTGCTCCATCCGCGTACACAGTTGCACGTATTTCTGTTGCATTTCCGCCAGTTGCTCTTGCATGGTCCTCAGTTGCGATTTGAGAGCGTTTTTTTCTACCTGCTTCTGCCTTAGAGGTTCCGTTTCTTCGTCGTCGTCGTCAATGTAACGTTCTGCCGTACTGTCGTGCTGCTGGGGCTGGTACAGCTTGCGTTTCTTACAACCGTTCACTTGAAGAGGTGCAGGACTAGATCTCATTCCCGACACTATATTTTCCACTCGCGCCTTCTTCGCGTCCTCCGGTTTCGCGGGACTTTGGGGTTCGACTTTCGGTGACGGTAACGAATCAGTATCCATACCGTTCAGCGCTTCTTCCATCAAATCGGACTGCTGTCGGTCACCATCGGCGAGGCACTCTTGCATCGTATTGACCGAATCGACATCGCCACGCTCCACCTCTGCCTTGGTGTCGTTGTTGTTGTTGTTGTTGTTGTTATTGATGAGGTGCTCCTGTCCGACAAGAAGCTCGTGCTTGCGACCCTGGAGGATGTCGCGTAACATGTGGTGCGCGAGTTGTTCCGATGAAGGCGGACTGGCACCGTCGGCGCAGCGCATCGCGACGGGGTCGAACTTGGCCATGGCGTCGTCACCGTCGGCCGCCGAACCGTCGGAGACCTTTTGTCGGCCCGCAAGAAGTTCGTTGAGCATCTTTGCGGGCGCGAAGCCGGGCCCGAAGAGGCCGAAGTGTTGCTGTTGGGTAAAAATCGCGCCGTAAAGATTGTTACCGGTATTGAGGAAGCTCGGTCTCGAACTGAAGTTCGGGATCGAGGAGTAACTGTTACGTGGTTCGCCCGCGTCCACTCGCTGTCTAGTTCTTTTCGTTTTCTTCAGGAGCTTATCTGCGTATAGACCGAACTCTGTCTCCTCCTCCGATGACATCATAAGTCGGGGCGTTATTGGCCAACGTGCTGTTCCCCCTCCAGAAGCTCCGTCCCCACTTTAAGAATAGTCGCCCATGTCAATACCTGGAACAGACGAGAAAGCTCACTTTAGAAATGTGCCCGCTGGAAAAGTTGTCGAGGAAGCGACGCGACGCGACGCGGCCTGTCGCACCGCTCGCAACGCCGAACGACGCGGCGGCGACGGCGGAAACTTAGGTACCAGCACGGGCGAGCGAAAGGGGAAACGTACGGCGACACCTGCAAATACCCGCTGCAGCGGTAACTAAACGACAACTGTTGAATGCATTATGTTATTGTACGGATAATGGCCCAGAAATCGACGAAAATATTCTCTTCAGTAGCTACTTATTCAGGCTGAAACATAATCTGCCATTTTTTGTTTCACCGTATCAATATCTCACAGAATTAGAAAACAAATCGATACCAATCACCGAATATCAAGGAACATGTCAGTTTATATTCAGTACTGTCATATATTCATTCAATGAGAACTTATTTTGTTTCATCTAATCGTAACATACCTAATAGTCCTATAAGAGTTATTAAAGTAACTAAGAGCTAAAGTTCATCTTGATTAAAGCTAAAAATAAGTGGATAACCAAATACATTTTGGAATAGTTACATTTTCTACTTAACAGTTTTTTCTATTTCTTAAAACTGGTTATTTTTAAATTCCATTCATTTTGTTTCGGCATTTTTTATTTGAATTTAATTAGAGAGTAGCGTTATTACAATTTCTCGTGTGCTGTAATAAAAAAAAAACTGTTCACCAAAGCCCACTTCCTTTTAAACACTTTATCTGACGCACTCACCCCAACATATCTATTGTTATCTGTCTTTATGTGTATTATAGATGGTGCCATATGGCATCGTGGTGTACTTTACTGGAAATTCTCACAATTTACAACCATCTGTCGCGAAACGTTGTCTTATCGGCCAAAGTCAAACATAACACAAGGTGTATATTATCTATCGCTTAGCCAATCCAAATAAAACCAACCTAATCAGTAAAATTGAAACAAAATATCAATGATATACATGAAACTAATATGCACGTAATAATGCTGCGTAATTATATGGAGTATGTAGGTATGTAAGTTTTTACAATACTATTTAGATTTTATTAGAATGGTATTGATAAAAAATTGCAAAGTTACCAAAACAGTTTTTCTGCACATGGGCTGGGTTTATCTACTTGTTTGTCTGCCCATATGTGAGAGGCTTCGAATTTTCAAAAAAAANCCAGTCTGCAAGAATCTCCAGACAAAGATCAACAAGCCCAAAAACCAATAGAAGACATCAGCGACTTGTTCTGGTTGTTAATAGCATGAGTATATAGTAATTATAATATATTCATATTATATTTTAAATATTGGCGGTGCGTATGTGGTAATTAAATTGAAAAGATATTAAAATTATTTGACTGTTTAAAAACTAAATAATGACATCATAGAGAGGTAATCTTCATTTCTGTAACGAAGGATATTTCATAATTTAAAATGGTCTACTCATTATAGTGGATGGAATGTTTTAATTTTTTTCTGTGATGTTTTAATGCCTATCGAATTGTGTCAAACTAAAGTTTGAAAAGGTTTTTTAACAACCTGAAACTCTGTAAACGTTAACCGGAAGCAGTCATGACACTTATAGGACACTTCGAGTTCTTAGTCCGTATGCCTAGCTAAGAGTATATATTTTTGAATGAAGAAGTTCTTTCAAGTAAGTTCCATATCTTTTTGAATGAATCCATTTAATTAATAGACGTTTTTGAGATTCCACAAGTGTTAAGGTCTTCTATTAGAATACGACGAATTTGAACGAACTCCGGTATAAAAAAGGAAAGTAAAAGGAAAAAGTACTAAAGCTTTGCTTTTAATCAGAAAGGTAATTTAATATTTTACTTTTCATAAAAGACCGCATTTTCTCTTTAAAACTTCTTCCTATACATTTTAGTTTTTTTCGGTGATAAACAGTGAATATTTCATCTTTATTGGTGTAGTAAAAATTTTTTAATACAGGACATGACACGGCATGACCATACTGTACAAAATTTAAGAAAAACTAAACACTAATAGGTTAAGAAAATTGTAAACATACCATACACATCTTATATATACAAACCCTCCACAGTAGGGTATCATTTTTATGAGTCTGAACGAAATCTTATGATTGTGGCCGGTAGAGCATAATAATTTTCTTTTATTTGATCTGTAACATTCACTTTGTTACCAACTTCCAATATATTTGGCGAAGTAGTGAAGAATGAGAGTGGTATATTTTCGGCAATAATCAGAATACAAATGAGATATCAGTATGCAGCATGTATAAGTTCGATAAAGAAATAGTTAAGTGTGGTGTTGCTAAAATTGTGCTTTTTGTGATCAGCTGGAACTACCGACAGTAGGTGTACATTGTTTATTTAATTATGTTGGTTAAAGTGAAGAAATCTTGAACGGAATTATAAATTAAATATGGAAAATAAAACCGTGACGAATCACCCTCATCGTGAGTAGAGTTCTATCCTAAATAATCGCAACTTCCTTCAAACTTTTTGAATGAATTCTTTATACACCCCAGTGTTTGTCTTCATCTTTTTCCGGGGCGAAGGCAAACAGAACGTCACGTGACTCCAGTTCCATCTCGGTCTAATTAGTGGAGAAATCGCTGTTCTTCACATAACGTTGCAGCGCAATACTTTTGCATATCGTAATATAACCTAAAGGGCTGCTGCCTGCACGCATGAAGGCAGGGCCGTAGTTTAACTATATGCATTTGTGTGAGTGTGTTATAAGCGAGGCGATGTCGCTGACGCCTTTTGGCTTTGAGCTTTCTTCTTGCGAACTACCTGCTCGCATTATTTTGCAAAATTAGTGGGAATTAATGTTACTTTTCAGTTGCCTAATGACTAATTTGCTGACAAAGTTAATGAGCTCGCGGAGGGGAAAAGAAAAGGGGAGGCGCGGAAGAAGGGAGTATATACGAATAAGGAGCCTTCGCTCTCTCTGTCCAGACGCTGATGGTAACAGTGCGGTGGGGCACCGAGGGAAGGAGGGACGCACATATCAAAGAAACTGCCAACCTCGTTAATTAGTCTCAAGGCCCTTAATTAAGTTATTTTTAATTGAGTGATGAGGAATGAATTCGCAACGCGGCGCAGCGCGCAAAACCCGCGCGGACTCTTTCTCCAATGCACCACTACTTTTTTTATAACGACAAAAGGATTCCGTGTTTGCCTACTTACAAAAGGTTGGAAAACAAATTTATTTAGAAAACGGAAATGCGTTCTGGGAAAATTAAACTTCCCAGATGTGCCTGCACGAATAGATATCAACATCTATAATTCCTTGAAAAAATAAACCTTGTAGCCATTCTCGGCTTTATTCAAACTATCATCATTGACATTAATTGAAACGTTGTTCATTTCGTTTTTCTCATTACCTGAGTCATACTTCACGAGTAACATACAACTTATTAACGCACAGCCCAAATCAAAATGACCCGAAATTTTGCACAGGCGTTCCTTACACAACGTAGGTGATCATTAAGAAAGGATTTTTTAAAATTCGACCCCCGAAAGTGTGAAAAGGTAGTTAAAAGTTTGATGTATCTATGAAGACATAGCCCAAATCGTTGACGAAAGAACCTTAAAAAATAGGATTCACACAACGTTTTAGAAGTATATATGAACCTGGCAAACATTGGCGTAGCAAATGGGGCGGAGGGCCCACCCTAGAATATTAATTATTCAAATAGAAATAACAAGAAAAGTCTACAATAATTTACATATATTTTTTGACCCTCCCCTAGAAAAAACTCGTTGCTACGCCTTATGCTGACAAACTGAATCGAAACGCTTAGAAAATGCTTTGAGTAGAAATAGATACTCTAACAAAGAAATCTAATAATGCTTTCGATTCTTTGCATTTGTAGAAAAGCTTACATAGGAACTACAAAACGTTCCCTTAACACAAGAATAAAGGAACACAAAGCAAATAGTCACTTAGGACACACTAACATATGCGCAGTAGCAGAACAGTCTTAGGACATAGAATAAGATTTGAAAACACTGATGTTTTACTCACTGAATATTTACACCATTCCAGACAGTATTTTGTATTTTTGCCATTTGAGAAACCGGGGGAGAAATTTATGGAAATCACAAAGTGCCTCCAATGTTCAATATGTCAATTCTAAATCATACGGGTTTGGAATAAGGACGAATATCTAAATATACCTAAGCTAAAAGGGTAATGTTCATTTACAACAATAAATAAAAAGAAATAAGGAAACTGAGGAAGTTTCCATGTGGAAAACCAGAAACAAATGAGCTAGCAAATGACTAAAGAAAGGGATGTAAAATGTGTTCTTGAATTCGCCTGATGTTACCTACCCATGCATGTGTACCTATGTTGAGCTCAATTTTTACAATAAGCCACGAAGACAACAACGAAAACTGAAAAACCAGGTTTATACTGGAAGATATTGAAGCAATTAATCTAAAAGCTGAAATTCCTAGTGGGAATAAGTTGTTGAAAACGAAAGACCGTTGCTCTTTAAAATTCTCAGCAGTAGCAGTTTTCCTACCTACGCTACGTACATTCTCCTCCTCCTTCTCCTCCCTTAATGTACGTAAGAGTTAAATATGTTCTAATCATGTACGGTTTATGAATAAACTAAAAAAGAACGTCGTTAGATTCAGCATGTCAATATGTTTTCCTACTATCTACGTCATACATGTGTGTGGCTGTTTGGATGGTGGTGGTGGTGGTAGGTGCAGGTAGCAATACGGGACTTTTCTTTCATGGTTTCAAAGCCCTGTCATCCATCTCTGGCTTTTGCACATTCAGCATGTGCTTCACTTGTGCAAGAGCATCTTTAATAAGCTGCACGTCCCAGAGCAGTAGCAGCAAAAGCCAGCCCACTGCGTATGTGACTTATGTGTTCACTGTACGCCAACATTTAATTGTAACAAAGAGAAAGTTCGATTGTTAACTGCTTGAAGCGGCGGATTACCTAACCCGCTACCTGACTGCCTCTAAACCTACACCACAACTCCGCGCGAT